TGCATTTAAATTTTTGAAGGCAATACAGGGTGCAATGTGTAAATTGTAGCCATTTTATATTTTTAATTTGGCACATGCACGTTTTTTGATTTTGTTTACTGCACAGTATAGTAGGGTCAGTTGGTCACTGTAAGAAAAAGAGCACCATGATGCAATTCACTCCATCAGCTTGGGATTCATGCTGGAAGCTCCTTCGGAAAGAGTTGGATGGGGTTATTGGTGATTACAAAGCTATGGCAGCTCAGAAAACTCACTTGGATCATTCTGGTAAGAAAAGAACTCCCAAATTTGTTGGTGAGAGGCTCAGACTCAACATGGAGGCCTACATCATGCCTTGAGGGGGTAGTGCTACCCTGGGTCAAGAGGGTTGCTGCTGATATATCCTATATCTGGAAACAGGACTCTGCACCATGCCACGCAAGCAGGAGAACCCAGTCATGACTGTCAGACAATTTCTATGACCATATCACCCCTTACATCTGACTACTTAACTCCCCAGACTGCAACCACCTTGGGTGCAGTTGAGTGAGAGATCAACAAAACCCCTTATAACACCAAAAATGAATTGAAGGTAAGGATTATGACAGCATTCAATATTTTAAACAAGGAGACTGCCCAGGAGAGTTGCAGGAGATTCCAAAGTCATCTGGAAGCCGTGGTTGAAGCCAATGGTGATTTTATTGAATAAATTTACTCTTTAGTGTTTCAAGATATTTTTGTGTAATTTTGGTAAATATATCTGTTAAAATGAGATGTCAGTGTCATTTTTGTGTAATTTAGGAGACAATTTATCCATTGCACTCTGTAGTAGATTATAGCAAATTACACAAAACTGGAGGAGAGTATCATAAGCAAGAAGTGCAGGGGAAGTTATGAATTTATAGAAATTTTTGCTCCTGAATTGTAGTCATTTTTTTTACCAAACTTGAAATAATTATCAATTTTGAACCACTTGTTTCATAGATTTTTAAAAATATGTATACTTTTTCTTAGTCTTCATTTATCTCTTAGCAACTCAAGTCATGTTCTTAAATAACCTTGTCAGATCAAGACTTTCGCATGGTACCAAACTTGCTCAGAAATATTTAAACTGTCAACTGTATGCAGCTATTTTCTCAGACCAATGGTTAAAGTTGGCTTTGATCAAATGAAAATTACTGTTATAAACACGCATATGGTAGCTCAAGAGAGCAAATGAAAAAACAAGTACCACTGGTGAAGCAAAAAGAATTGTTAATATAAAATTCTTTGTATTGCCGATAGAATGTGAGTGGAATGTCTCTTTGTGGGCAAGGGAAGTGACTTGAAGGAAGGCTAGAGTTGGTAGGGCTTGGAGTGTCAAGTTGATTGACTGAGGTGACTGGTGAAGATGTTGAGAGCTTGCTGGTGGTGGATTGGCTGAAGCTGGCTCATTTGCCATGATTTTGTTTCAGTTTATATGATCAGCATTCTTAAAAGCAAATGTGATTTTCTTTGAATACACTTATATTTTCATCTGTGGACACCAATGAGTTTATTTACAGCTATACTTTTAATGTGAAAACAATGTTAAGACTTCAGTTGAAACTATAAATCAATACCTAAAATGTTTTTAATGACTCAGTTGGCCATTATAAAGTTAGCATTTGAAGTCAGACTTTTTAATTGACCCCTGCAGGTCAACATGTTAAACATGTCAAAAGAACATTTCACTGAAAACTTTTGCCTTATCAAAGTTTAAGTTACAACAATGTACTTTGCTGGTTTGGGATTTTGACATTTTTTACTAAATTTTCTGAGGGGATAATTGCCAAATCTTTCTATCAATCCTGTTTTTATTGTTCTTTCTCTTCAGTGACATTTTCTTAGTTTCCTTTACTCTATTGCCTTTTATCCTCAGTGCTCTCTTGCATCTGAGTGGCTTTATTGCCTTTCTTAGAGGAAATCTAGCCCAGTTTTCTGATCATACTAATAGTTACTAAACAAAAAATAATGGAGAAGTGACTGATGGGGCTCAAACTGGTGATTAGTGTTTATTATCCTTGTTCTCCTTAATTGCTGTTGTTCCCAGGTTCTTCCTGACCCAGGTTGGTAGCACCTGTTAGGTGGGGCTCAGCTATGGACAAATAGTGAACCCCCGAACAAATACAAAACACTATGAAAGTTTAAAAATACCCGCAATAGATTTCTATACAAAAAATTACCAACAATACATATTTATAGTAAAATAACCAACAAAACAATTTTAAAGCAAAATAACTAACAATATATTTTGTCTATCATTGAAAGCATTAAATAACCCATAGTGTCCCGAAAAAAAAAAACACTGTATAAAACTCAAGAAAAATCTCAAGTTGATGTTTAAAAATTGCAAAACATTGTAAATTAATTTAAGATGGAATGATCTATTATGACATGTCTCTAATTTGTATTTAGATGAATTGTATTTATTTTCAGTTTTTCTAGTTGAATTGTTCACCTATATTGCATATGAACCATTATTCTACATAATTAGGTTACAATAAAATTTTTATTTTATATGAATACTACTTTATGAAAATTGAAATATAACAGCGGGGGACATATCATAGATTCAGTAGGTACGGGACCCTTACACACACATTATGTAAGTGCATGCAGTGTCACACAATGTGTGATGGACAATCATCTTTTCTTCTATATAATAAATGTGAATGTCAGTATGTCACTGTCACACTTTTTCAATTAAAGGGAAACAACTCTCTAACTTTCAATAGCTCATGTTACAGAAATTTTGGATTGCCATGTTTTCATTAATGCAATTGTTTTTGGTAATTTTTTTTTTTTTTTTATACATGATTTTTTTTGCAACAAATTTTTTTGTATGATAATTTTTATAACTTGGAAATAAATTTGGGAATAATTTAAATTATGAAAGTCACCCATGAAATAAAAATAATTGTTTGTATGGAAAGTAAGGGCCTACGTACATCAAATTGTCTTTAAAGTAAGTGGCATCAGAAGAATTATCATTGAACTTTTAAAAGGCACACTTATATATTAATGCAATACTTAAATGCAGTGATCAATTTTGAGTTCTTCTGTAGTCTGTTGTTGCCTATTGATATGGTAACAGTATGCCTCACAAAAAGAAATCTCTGCCAACAGAGGACCAGATTGCAATCAAAAGAGCCAAGCCTGCAGCGAGGAAAAAAAAAAAGTGCTGTGCAAATGAAAATCCAGATCAAACTCCTGAACAAGCCAAATCAAGAGCCCTTTACAGGAGCTAGCTTAAATGCTGCCATATAGGGCAGCTTTGAGCTAGTTTTTAATATAGACTTTTGCTTAAAATAATCTGAGATAACCTGTGGAAGAAAATAATTTTCTAGATAAAAATAATATACAAGTGCCAAATTAACTGAGGATTGGCTCAAATTATAACCTCTGGTAGTTGTCACTGATCTTGTTAAATTTGTTTGGCCAGGTATAAGAAGTTCAAGGTAGGCTTGTTCCTGCTTTAAAATGTGCAAAAGAATATTTATTTGTACAAAAACAAAGTTTATTTTAATAAAAATTAACTTTCAATATTTGGAAAAGGAAATATTTTAGTAAAATCTATAAAGGATGTAACGGGTGTGGGTAATGTTGGGCGTTGACATATTATTTTCCCCATTTGTTATTATTTGTTGCCTGTAATAGAGTTGATATTAATGATAGGAATTAAAGCATATAAAACATAGGACGATAACCACAATAAAATGTTGAGACATGTGTTACGAGTTAAATAGCAAGAATTTGTATTTTCTTTTTGTGATGTGAATTACAGAATATTGGTATAGTGTGTGTAAAAATGTTCTCCATGTCTCTTTTGTTTAAAAGTTTGTGCTTGCTTGGTTTGGTTCTGAGAATTTTGTTTGTGAGGATGGCATTTGAAATTGTCTATTTTCCTGGAGCACTGGCAGATGTGTGTTTCTATACTGCTACCTCTCTATTCTACTACTGTGGGTACCTTAGTCTACACTACTGACTTTCTTGTTGTGGAAGGGTCATTTTTATAATGATGAGGGCAGGATGATGAAATATCCTTTTCTATCATCACTGATGACAAGGTTATTTTTAGAATGATGAAATATCATCATCATTCTGGAGTATAACAAGGAGTTAATATAGTATTTGAAGTTTTAAAAAATATTGGCTTGACTGCCATCTACTGGGCACATGGTCCTGAAAGTAGATGACTTTAATAAAACAATCAACTAAATAGAATAAACCTAACTGGCTGAAACAGTGATGCACTCTCATCAAAATATTTTGATAAGTACATCTCAGGCCTCATTAAACAATTGGATTTCCATAACTGAACTATTGTTACTACTTTATCTACCATTACTTGTAATTAGGTTGAATATTAATTGCTTGTTGAAGGCGGATTTAGTACACTAATAAGTGAGGTTATATTGTTTAAATTATTAGCTGTTATCCTTGGGTTTTCTTTGGATTCATTCTTTGACACCATAATTAGCTGCACTCAATGTTTTTACCAATTCCATTTAGCTAACTGTTTTATTCAAGACATAATCTGAAAACACCAGTTCTCATTCTTTCACCAAAGTTGAGAAGTACTTAACTGAGGAACTGCAAGCAACGTTCTACAATCTAAAATATGCTTTGGCTTTAAATAATCAACAAAGGATTGATAAATCATAAAAAACAAATCAAATCAACAGTTAAGACATCTTTTTTTTCTTCTTTTTTTCAGGATTGTATGTTTGGTAAACAGTATTAAAGGCAAAATATTAGTAATTCTTTAATATATCTGTGCATGTTTTGTTTTTCTTTTCCAGTATTGTTATTGTTACATATATATATATATATTTAAAAAAAAAAATTTGAAGAAATTTTTTATCCCAGAAATTGACTTCAGGTGGTTGCCAAAAAAAAGAAAAAAGTGGAAGCAAATTCATTTTAATGTTTTTTTTTTTTTTTTTTTTTTTTTTTTGGAATGTCAAAATAGAAAGTTTACAGTTTGGATTTATCTTCAGGACTGCACAGATCAGAAAACACAACGGACAAAGAACAAGAATTGCATGCAGGATAATGCTGTGGATGAAGACGGAAAGAGCAGACGAAAGGCACCAATTACTTGTTATAAAGAAACTGTATGTCTACCACTAATCCTACTAATGCTACTGCTAAAACACCACTGCTCTTTCATCTGCCACCACCATACCATTTTCATGCCTTCATTATGATTATTTTTTTCTTAATATCCTTCTTTATATTATGGTTACCATTATCCTCAACTTTTACAAGATTATTTTGAGGGAAAATATATTCTGGTTTTGAGTTTTTCCCAAGCTCCATTGTTGTCCAAGAGTCCCAACACTATATCTTAACTTTGGTACAATTTGACTTTGTTACATATATGAGGCAAGGATATCATAGGTGGTATTAATTACTCATGACCCACTGGTATGTCGTTTGGCACTGGAGTCCATTTTACAACCCAGAATCCCACATGAATGCATGGTACAGTTCTGTGTAGATAAAAATTTAAAAAAAAAAATGACCCCAAAAAACAGTAGAAATTACACAGAAAAACAAAAGACAAAATATCAGAAATAATTTAATTTTTTGTGGGGGGGAAAAAAGGTGATTCTGGTGTACCATGATCTCATAAGCAATCAATCATTGCATCCCACTATCAATAATCCTAATTGAAAATAAATTAAAAAATGACCCACTTAAGGGTCGTGTAAGCTTTGAAAACATACCACTACAACCCTTCAGTGGGTTGTGTGGAAGCCAACATGTTAAACTACATTTACCAATGACACATAGCTGAGTGGTTAGAATATTAGCATTCCAACGATAAGACTTGCATTCAAACCTTGTCATAGTCCATTTGTCTGGGAAGAGACTTGATTGTTTTGTTTTCTACAGCTTATCAGCTCTTTACAGGTTATTTAAAGCTAGAAAATAGTTTTAGATTTTAAGAATTCTATTTTTTTTTTTTTTTTTTTTTTTAGGTAATAATGGTTTAGTGATACAAGTTTTACTAATTAACCCATAGCAGGGGGAGAAGAGGTGGATTCATGTTTTTCAAGAGTATATGCATGTAAGTGATTATAATGTGTCCAATAGGGTATTAGAACTCTGCTCTCCAATTAACAATTCCGAGCTATTATCTGTTACACCATCCACACATTCAAGCTTACAACAGCTGGTATTCCCATGTGGTGACCCATCTAGGTATGGACCTGACTTGATGTTGCTTAACTCTGGTGATCATACCGAGTTCTTGATGATAGTGGTCTTGGGATATGGTCCCTGGATGTGGCACCATTAGGACTTCCTTGAAAACCGTACCACAGGTTGACCCAAGTCTTGTGAGTGCAGTTAAGTAGATGAAATTGTTTAGAAGCTGTTGGTAGTTGGGCTAGCACAAAGTCACAAGTCATTGTGACTTATGGTTTTGGAATAAATCTATCCTGGTCTTGAGTTTTTCAGGTCTTTAAAAATAAAAAAAAAATTCAAGTTGATTTTAAATTATATTTACTAATGACTTGTGGGTGAGTTATAATGTCAGCATTCCAACCATGAGACCTAGGTTCAAATCTCACCATGGTCTATTTGTCAGGAAGGGACATCTTGATAATATCAGCCTGAGAAAATTATCCCAGCCTGTGTCACCAGTGAAAAGTGCCTGAAAACCATACTGCAGGTTGATTTCAGCATTGTAAGTGAAATTAAGCTGACAAAATTGTTCAGAAGCCATTAATAGTTGTACTAACCCAAAGTCACAAATTAATTTTATACTAAACCAAAGACTTATCACTTAGTAATCTAACTGAACTGATCTCATCTAAACAAGACATATTGTACAAATTCAAATCCACCAATCTGGCCTCCAGTGTCGTCAAGCCAGGTTAGTTTAACTGTTTTCATGTTATAGCTTATGAGGGTCTCTGGAGTAGATTACAATAAGATACTAACTAAATGCTTCTGACCCACTTATTATACACCTTTCTCTATGTGTTCAACAATATTGAATGATAGGCTCTCTGCCAAGTAAAAAAAAAAAAATGATGTAAATAAAATATATTGATAAAATTGGACTACAGGGTTTGTTGTTTATTATAGAAGTTTTAGAAAAATGTTTTGTCTTAGTGTTATAGACTTATCTAACCATTAAGCATTGACTAAGACTCAGGAATCAATCGGTTTTTAATTCTCACCAAAAACCAATTCAATCTCCTAGCAGAGTGGCTCAATGGTTTTTTTTTGGGGGGGGGTTATATTGATCTCCTCCATGGGAGGTGAAAATACCTATCATTATCCAAACAATGACTTTATTGCCAAAAGTTGTTGTTTGCGTGTCTGTTGTAGAACAAGTCAGTATAAATAGGGATTAAAACTACTATAAATTATATGATAATATTTTGATTGTCACATGCTAGTGTGATAGAAACAGTTTGTACAAAAGCCAGTGATGTACTGGTAATAGAAAAACACAATATAGCTCACTACTTGATGATTGATCACCCTCACTTTACATGAGATTTAGGACATTTTCTGATTATACTAACTTACAATTACTGAACAAGAAAATAAGGAAGAAGGACCTGAATGTGACTGTTGCAGCAGCTGCCACAAAGTGTCATGTTATACAACATGCATCCTTTGATCACACAATCCATGACCTCACTAGTTAAGAATTTTGCTGATTATATTACAAAATCAAAAAATGCTTATAAAAATTGGTGACTGCTGCATTGAGAGAAAATTATTAATCATGATTGTGGAAATATATTTTTATAAATATCTTCCGGAACATCTTTCATGACCATTTCTTGATGAAGCATATAGAAAAGAATGAATCTCAGGTTTAAAAAAAAGTTACTACAGACAACCTTATAATAATTATTTTAGAGACCTGTACTTTATCTTGTTTCTGTGCTTGTTTCAAGTTTAATGGCCTGAATTTTTCCGAAGTTTTTATTTTTTTGGCCTTTCTCTCTGAAAAAATGTTCTTTCAGGCAATGAAATGGTTGTTCTCGATAATACTAACTCAGTCCCTTAAAAGATGTTACATTTGGTGTATAAAATGTTTGTATAAATAGAACAAACCTTATAGGACAGTATTAAAATTAGGATTAATTCAAAAAGACGGTTTTTTTGGGGGTTTTTTAACTTAAAATTGAAAAATAACAAGTTAAAAGATAAAAAAAATAAGTAAATACTTTTAGTCTCAGTAAGATTAATTTTAACTTTTCAAAATTAAATTTTTTTAAAAAAATATTGAATATTTTAAGATCAGCTTTCTTGAAAATTTCATTTGGTAACTTTCTTTCAAAGATAAAAAAGATTTGCTTTAGAAAATGTAAAGTATTAATTTCATTATCATCAGCATTATTATTATTATTATTATTATTATCATCAGCTTTCTGCCTTTGCTTTTTCATGTTATTATAATTACAGACTATCCTTGTTATAAAGTTCCAACCAAAAAATGTTAAAAAATAAAAGAAATCAAATAGACTGGGAGGTGTGTGTAGTGGTGGTGGGGGTTGAAAGCCATTCCATCCCTGATAAACACTGCCATTAATTTAAGCACTATTTATTTCTTCCTATGTATTTTCTACAAAATTTCTTGAATATTCAGGCCGGTAAATGTAATTAATACTGTTTAATTACAAACAGAGCATTTACTCAAATAAGTGTATCCATAAAAGAAAAACATATAAACAGAATATATATATATATATATATATATATATATATATATATATATATATATATATATATATATATATAACACAAAGGTGCTTGTCAGTGATGCTATTTATGCATGTTCATATTTCTTGACTGATTTCAATGAAATTGTACACACATGTTGCAAATTTACCAAGATACATCAAGACCAATGTTTCAATCTCCAGGGCCTTCCCTCTGGTTTGGCAGATAAATTGATAAAACTGAATGTGGGTATGACTTTTTGCAAAATCCAAGGCAAAGTCACACTCGAACAAAATTTTTACTAGATGAGATGATGTTCTTTGCACTTAATGTAAAACATCAGCTCATGTTAAAAGATTTATATAGAGTGTTTGATAGTTTTCTTGTGATATTGGTTTCATACAAAAATGGCAAAAAACTGAAAAAAATTGTTTTTTGTACTACTAAAAATAAAAACTTTAATAACCTCATTTTTTATCCGATTTTCTTCAAACATTCAGTATCTGTCTATATTTCTGAGATGAGGTATTATGTACACTATTTACATTATTCAGACTATTGTCCTCATCTTTGTCACCATATTTATTACAACGTTTCGGCCATTGTACGCTCCAGCCTTTTTCACGTGGTTGGAATGTTGAACTAAACCTTTTTATTTCGACACATGGTACGGTGAATAAAGGCATTGATTAGATCCAGTGACAGGACCCAAAGAGTGTGAATTCAGTACCCAGTTAAGGCAGTGGAGAACTTGGAGAGGAGAATTAACAGGAGATAACTGACATCCATTAAACATGGCACATGGAACTAGAACAGTATACCCCAATGACTGGTTTTTCATCTGATGCTTTTCAAATTTGCCATGTAAATTACACATTACACAAAAATTGTCTTGCATGTTTGTTTGGTTTAGATTATTTCAGTTAAGTGGATGAAGTCTGCAACAAACTAGGTCCAAAATCAGCTTTTGCCATTTAGCCAATAGTTTCTTCATGGTTCCATCCTAAATTGGCATTCAAACAACATTAGATACAAAAATTGTTTGAAAAGGATTATTTAAGCATTAAAAGGGAAATGTTCCCAAAGAACTTCTTATTAATCCCAGCTTTGCAGTAAACGTGCAAAGGAGGGTGGCATTCATGAATTTGCAGTTGAATCAAGCTCTGACACTTCATCCCCTTTTTTGCTTGGTTATTAAATTTGTGAACACTGCCATACTATTTGAAAATTATTACAGACATAGAAAACTTACACTGAAACAATTTAGCCCTAAGCAATGACCACACAAGAAGGTTTGTTTTTTTGTTTTTTTTTAAGAATAGTCAGACAATTGTAAAGGACATACCATAAAAAAGGATGAGGGTGGAGAGTAGCTTAGTATACCAACGAACGGTGCAAGTGAGCAGGGATACAAGCAGGCATTTCTAGACAGGTGTGTGGTTATACAATTGTAGCCATGTACTCTGGGGCAGCATCAGGTACCTCAACTAGTGTGTGTGTGTATATATATATATAAGTGAACATAGAAGTCAACACTTAGAGGCGACAGTCTGTTTCATGAAACAGACTGTTGCCTCTAAGTTTTGACTTCTATGTTAACTTTTATACTTACACACGCTCTATCTCTGATATTGAGCACTTTATCCCATAAATATAGCACACCTTAAGACTATATTTCTTTATATATATATATATATATATATATATATAATGTTGTCATGCGTAAGAAATGATGTTATTAACTGGAAATGAATAAAATGCTTTTGAATGATGATTGACTGTTCTCCGACATATCTCTAAATTCTTCATCCCATCTTTTAAAAAAAGTTTCATACTTTGATTACCTCTTCCTTATTGGAGAATGATTTATTGTATATAAAAAGTTAAAAATGTATAAATAAGTGATAATCCATAGGAGAGATATCAGGTGACTATGGAGGATGAGGCTTCAGGCTTGTATAATTCAGGTTTTCTTTTGGACGGTTGATTGAGAAATGTGTGTCCGTTCGTTGTTGTGCAGCAAAACTGGGCCATCTCAGGGAAGCTCCCCTAAGTGTTTTTATTTTTTTAATTTGTATTTGAGTTTATGATAGGTAATGACAAAATAGAGAAAAAATTCTGTGATGCCTTTTATACTTTGAAAGGAATTCTATAGTGTAAAGAAATTTTTTTCTAGAACGAAATGTTTCACATAGGATTTAAGTCTGGTATGTAGACTTTATATATCCTGTTCTTTCATTAGTGTTTCTGTTAATAAATAATATTTTCTCTAATGAATAATGTTTTGAAATAAATTATTAAAAATAGTGTTATTTTATTTTATAGGTATGTCCACTAATTCGCACATAATTTGTAATACCTAGGGTTTAAAATTAATTTTTTAAATTAGAAAACTTTCTTAAATCTTTCATTTAATGTTTAATTGAAAGCTAAAGGATTAATTTTTCCAGTAACCAAAATACTCTAGTGTATTTCAGACAGAAATTATATTGGAGATTTCATGTTTTTTTTTTTTTTTTGTTAAAAATAGCTGGTTAGCAACACTTTTTAGTCATTTGTCATTGTAATGTAATTTTCTTCCTTAAAAATTTTCAAAAAATAAAATGTACTTTTCTGAAACTTTATTTGAGGAATATTAATTGATTTAAGGTATAATTAATCTGATTTGAAACAAATATTATTTGCTTTATGTTGAAAATAACAGAGAAAGGGATTTTTAAAACAAACACTAGAGGGGATTAAGTACTTGTCAATGCTCGTAAATCACTTAACAAGTGCTTCTGAAGGTGTTGACACTTTTATTGTAGTTCTACAGAGATTCTGTGTTAAAACATAATTTAAGAAAATGACTGGTGAACATTTTTTTATATAAGTTTTAAGTACTCAGTAATGTTAAAAATGTTGGAAATATTCTTTGTAATCTAATTTTAGGAATGTCGACTTTAAATTTACTATAGTCATCAGTCTTATAGTTCGTCTTGACCCACATGTCTCAAAAAAAAACAAAATAAATACCTCTTGACTCACTTTCCTAAAGGTTTACCCTGGCTTCTGATTTAAAGTTAAATAATGGAAAAATAAAATTATGCCTCCAACAAGGATTTGTCTATATACTTCTCAACTGTTTTTTTCTCTGTCATTTTGTAAGCTTCCTCAAAAAGCATGTCTGCTGCAATTCAGCCCTGAAATGGTTTTGGCTTGCTTCTTTGCTTGCTGCCTGTCTGCATGAATTCTTACAGGTTTGACTTACTCATAAAACGAAACCACTTGATTGATTTTTTTCCTTCATTTTACTTTACGAAAATGTGCAAATCGTTTAATGTGATTCAGTTGAAAGTTACTCTGAAAAGTGTAAATTACCTTATTGATTATTATAGATTTATGATTTTTTTTATGATAGAGATCTTCCATTGAAGTGACATCCAATTCTGTTTTATGCTTATTGATTATTGCTATCAAATGTACATCCTTTCAGCGATTCATCTGTTTTTTTTATTTTACTTTAAATACAAGTTTGTTTTTTGTTTTTTAACTGTGATATAACAACTCCAGTTTTATTGGAAAGCAAAACAAATCACAAAATTTAAAACAACTTATAAAGAGCAGTTCTTTAACATTCCAGCCACTTGTTTCATTTTATAGTAGAGCAGTATCCACCAGTAGTGATAATGGAAATCTTCCTAGGCTTCTATTTCACTTTTTTAAGAATGGTTACTGATTCAAAACAATTTATAGATTAAAGTAAGTCTTTAATATCCTGACGACTTATTACAGTGCCTATCAGTCGTGACAGTGAAAATCCCCATTGTCTCTTACTTCATTTGTAACTCCTTAATCTATAAACCATAAATACATGCTACATTGTACGTAATGCACCTACCTTCACTAATAGTGGGGAACAAACATAACCTCTTACCTCAACAATCTGAAGATTTACAGCAGGAACACCAGAGATTTTTGATAAAATCCAAAGAAGAATCTCCAACATTATTGGTCCTTACCTAGCTTCTTAGCTTCAACCACTTTCCCACCAATCTAGCGTAGTGTAGTTTCCTGTACCCTTTCTCTAAATATTTTCAAGGCAATTATTCCAATGAGCTTTCCGCTTTGGTACCTCAACTTTACAAATTTAAGTGCAGTACTTGATTGGCAGTTAGGTTTCATCGTTTTCCTCTTGAAATTGCTAGATGTAACCATAAATTCTATTCTAATAGTTTCTTCTCTTGCACTTCTACTGGATAGCTTAGATTTTCCTTTAATAAAATTTCTCAAATTTTGAGGCCAGTAGACAAAAATAGATAAATGTACTGTTTAATAAATAAACAGTGTGTCTACTCAAATATGGGTATCTACTAAAAATAACATTTAAAGTGATAAAATCTGTTGGATTAATAAACAACAAAATTCATCAATTCTTCAGAAATTACTTCTGCTGGTTTTCCAAGCTGCCATGTTGCCAAGGGGAATTAACTCAACAATACCTGAACTCTCCTCCAGCTTCTTGCTTTCCTGTCAAATAAGGTCTGAAAAAATTTAAATGCAATCATCAATTTCTCTCTCCTTAATCCTATCATTTTCTCACATACTTTACTCTCAGTAACCCCCCATGCATCTTAGTGGCTTTATTGCCTTGCTTGGGGTGAAATTATTAAACAATAAAAAAGAAAGGATATATGGTTGTAAAGCCGACATCTCACAAGTAATTGTAATAATAATTGTATGGTTTTTAAAATGTAATCACTGATGGCACATTGACGAGCGTATTGCTGGTGTCAGAAACAAATTCATAGTAAACGTGATCTTAACTGGGTGCTCTGGGAAAATGGACTTGTGTCAAACATGGTTTAATTCTTTTTTTATTTCTGATCTGTTGCAGTTGATTGCTGAAGTTTCACCAAGTGGTGCTGTGAGTCGACGGAATACGGTAACTCTCGGAGATGACAGTGCATTTGGATCGGGTGAGTTAGTTTTCTTTGGCATTACCAATTTCATTTAGGACTGACTGAAATTTCAGGAGTTCAGTTAGCTGATGCTAAAATGATCCTAGCTTCTATTTATACAGTTATTTTTGTAGGTAGGTATGTGTGTGCATTTGTATGTATACAGACACGTGTGTGTCTGTATACATACATCTTACTTATTATAAAATGCAGATTGTGTGTGTGTCTGTTCGTTTATATATGGAATCGTATTTCCTACATTTTTCAAACGATTTCAACAAAACTTCACAGGACTACATAAAATTACCCGGCGGTGGTTCTGACAGTGCCAAAAATTGGAAAAACACAATTGTTTTTGCATGAAATCAATTTGAAAGCACGAGTAAGGGTATCGCACCCGGCTGGAAGTTACTGCCGGCTACTCAAACGTCCAAAAACAGAACGAATGCCGTTAACTTCCGGTGACTCAGCATTTTTTTTCAGAGAACGATACACAAAAAGTAAAACAAATGAAACATAAACAAGTCCTCCTAACTAAAAAAATAATAACCGAAACTACTTTAAATACACATTGTCCAAATACACCCATGGTGTCCAAATCCCACTTGAAAAACAAACCATCAAAAACAAAAAAAAAAAAATGTGTGACACTATCCCCCAAAAGGAGTTCTAGGAATGTTAAATTTTAATTTTAGTCATCAACCAAAAGATATTGCCAACCAACTACGATGCTAACCAGAGCCGACATAAACACAGCCGATTTCTTCCACCAAGCAAGATAGTGATTACTGTATGAGTCGTACGATTTTTGAATCAAGCATGGGCAATGCCGGGCCATTCTGCTAGTATATAATAAATAAAAAAATTTATATTTATATATATATATATATATATATATATATATAGTACTGGTGTTAATAAAATAGTGCTCAATGCAATAAAACAGAGCTATAAGCTATATATCATTTCACCACCTGAGGATTGCGCTGCAAGTGAGGAAGAAATATATATATATATATAATAGAGAGAGATAGTGTATTTGGGCATTTATGTACCTTTGATTAAAAAACAAAAGTAATTACCAGTAGCAATTGGAAATGGAAATTTAAAAAAAAAAACTTAAAATTTTGCTATATTTATAGGGGAAGAATGTCTATATCTATAAAGGCATTATCTATAATATTAAACAATGTGGACAAAGGAATCAACATTGTATAGTCATTTTTATACTTCAAGCATTGAAGTGTGATACTGACAGTCATGATAGTGTTGGTTCCTATGTCCACACTATTTTTATATATATATATATGTGTGTGTGTGTGCATGGCTGAGTGCTTAGAACATTCATATTCCAACCATGAGATTTAGTTTCAAATCTCATCTTGGCCAATTTATTAAGGGGATGAATTCTTAATATCAACCTAGGGAGATTATCCCAGTTATTATTATAAAATAATATATAATAATTATGTTATTAAATAAAAAAACTAGGAAATAAAAAGTAAACAAATAGAAAATTTTTAAAAGTTCAACAACACTAACAATCTTTACTCATTTTTGTTTATTAGGTATAAATTTATATCACTTAGAATCTTCCATAGTTTACCTTTCAGAACATAAACCAGTATTTTTAAGTTTGTTTATAAAATAAATACATGTTGCAAAATAAAATCCTTCCTTAGGGAAAGAGATGGATTCATACTTTTGCCAACGATACTGGAATTTGAACCCTGCTCTCTGATTTCTCATTCTGAGTCACTATCCATCACATCACTGCACATTCTTTTATACAAGTTCATTTTAAATATATAAACAATGTGTTGACCTACTGGCTAGTGCATTTATACCTGTTGATCTACAAGCTTGTATTTTTCAGGATGTTAGAAACAGAACAATTTCTAATATCCTAGCACTTAGATCTATTTAACCACAATGTTTATATATTTAATGCGATCTTAGATCACTACAATTTTACGTTGAGCATATTTTTTTTTATATCTTCTAATACTGTAGATTATTAAAATTATATATATTATTTTATATCTATCTGTTCCAATCTTTCCCTATAATCACGCACACACATCAGGAAATCTTTAGCCTAATGATTAAGAGAAAAAAAATTATTTTACGCAATTTATTTTTCAGTATAATCTTTGTTAGCACTGTTCAATGTTAAATATTAATCCAACAGATTGTGCATTATACAATGAAAATTTCAGATCAAAGTTTAGCTAATAATTATGTTACACTATTGATGCATTTTCCTTTTGTATATATGACGGTTGCATAAAGATTACATGTTCAATTCCAGTCAGAAAAGCACATATTTTCTATGAAATTTCTTAAACATTCAGAACGGTAATTGTAATTAATACAGTTTAATCAAAAACAGAGCATTTACTTAAATAAATTATATCTATAAAAATAATGTATAAACAGAAAATATTAATTGTTGGACTTAATCCATTTCATAATATATATATATATATATATATATATATATATATATATATATATA